GGGCGGGGGCGGCGGCAGGGGAGGGATGGAAGATTTGGATTTTCCTTTAATAAAGTGAACTCAAAATGAAAGGGCACCCCCCCATCACCACGAGAAGAAAATCATTTAGCAAAGAGCAGTTTCATTCACCATGATATGAAAACAGCCCCGTTCTGGGACTGCTGTAAAACGTGCGGCACAGCCTTTAACCCCAAGGGAAAAGCAACCCTCCCCCATCCCCCAACAGCCTCTTCCTGCACATGCCCCTCCCCTCCCCCTAAAATAGGCTATAAGCAAACCCCATGCACCCTGCCCGCCCCCCCAGCACCAGAGAGGCAGTTCCTCCCTCCAGAAGAGTCCTGAGAGGGTCTCAGGCCAGCTCCTCAGGTTTTCTCCCTCTTCAGAGCGGAGACGCAACCCCCCTGCCCCGACCCCGCCCGACCTCTGGTCAGCAGCGATGCCAGCATCCAGGGATGCTGAGCCCCGCTCACGCTCACGTCCGAGCTCTGCTAGAACCCTTCAGAGTTTTAGTCATCTTTTGGCAGGGACCAGCAGGGACCGTTTGGCTTCCTCAGTGAAGGAGGGAGGAAAGAACGCTGCTTTGGATGACCTTTCCTAACTCCACAGAGCCCTGAGCGAAAAAGGAACCGTGATGCATGAACCCGTTCCCTGGACTGGATGTCCGCTGTGGTCCGGGGGCGGAATATGGGACACGAAGGAGGTGAGATTAAGAGAAAAGGATGATGCCTTAGAGAGGGCAGGTTGCACAAGGTAAGGAAACGGGGACTCCGTGAGAGGAGGGAGCTGTGACATGCAAAACCCCAAGGACCTGCAGCAGGAGTGCAGTGCGAGGCCAGCAGCGAGGGCCTGAGTGAGGCCACGTGAGCACGCACAACCCTTTAACCGTTTTAGATGAGGTGACTTCAGCTACCTGTGCTCGCCACGCCTACTCCCGTTTCCTCCAAGAACCAACTTCAGGTAGCCATCCTCCCCCTCCCCAGAAGATGTGGACCTGGCCTCGGTTGCGTTTCAGGGGCACGAGTGTATGACACTGTGGGCTTGATGGAGGCAGGGTCACAGATGGACAGAAGCACCGCAACTCTCAACATCCTCATTCTGGGACACCGCTGCCGCAGGAGAGGGGCAGTGTGCTGCCGTCTCTTCACTCTACCCTTCGACCCTGTCCTCTGCCCTCAGGACGTCTTACAGAAGTGCTGGGGCTCCAGGTGCTGCGCAGAAATCCCCACCAGCGTGGAAAGTGGGTGCGGAGGGCAAGCAGTTTCAGGGGCTTATGCCTCGTTGTAAAACATCCTGGAAGGAGGAATACCCAGATCCTCCTCTCCTCAGGAGGCCTGGGGAGTGGCGGGGGGGACACCTGTGAGGCCCTCCAGGGAGTCCTGGGAGGAGGTGAAGAGGGGCCAAGGGAGCCCAGAGCCCACGCTGCTCCTCGGCAAACACCCTGCCCCGGCTGGGGGCCTGACAGCACCGGACCCCTCCCTCCACCCTACTCAACCCTGAGTCCCCAAGAAGTTATAAAAATGTAGAAAAGGCAGAGAGAAAAGTGTAAACAGCTCCAGAGAATTAGGGGTAGATGGAGGGAGACACAGCCTCATGCTTCCCCGTCTAGCCAAGACACCTGCATCCTGTGTCACCCCCCCTCCCCACCCACCGCCTCGGGGCCCCGGGGCTCCCAGAGCAGGAGACGGAAGATAGCAGAAAAGGGAAGCAAGAGCTGGAGTTGCCAGCCCTGGCGGGGTCCTTTCCCATATCCTTAGGGTCCTCCTTCCAGCCACAGGATAGTCAAGATCCCAGAACAAGTGGCCATGTTTGCCCTCGGTCTCACCAGTGACCGCCTGGTCTCTGGACAGGCCTTGTGCCCCTGTGCATCCCGGCGGCCACGTCCACCTCCTCCGTGACTCCTGATCTCAGAAGCCAAGTTACCTCTGAGGGCAGAGGCCCCTCACTCTGAGGAGACGGGGTCTGTACGTTGCTTCCCCTGTGCCCATCGAACCATGTCCCACAGCCCCTGAGGTCTGTTCCTCATAGGAGGGATGAGCTTGGGCCACAGCCAGAGAAAACAGAGTTGGGAAAAGCAAGAGTGACGTGAAGAAAGGAGGCCTTCAGGTAGCTGCAGTCAAGGCTCTTGGAAGACGAGATCAGGGAGCAAAGAACTGAGATCCAGGGGCCGGCCACGGGCCGCTCTGAGCTCCTGTGCTCAGGATACACACTGGAGCTCCACCACCACAGACCCTGAAGCCCGCAGCCAAGCGAAGTTCATGGGCATCTGCTTGCCTGGGCCTCAGTTCCTGGACCTGTGGTCTCTACAGTGTAAGCCTGGATAAAATCCCACCCCGGCCCTCCGTTTTGCTGGCAAGGACTCCTGGGCTCGTGAGAGTCTTCTGCCCAGGTTTCGGCCGTACTGCTGGGGGAAGGGAGGGTGTGGTTGCAGCCATGCCCCTCAGGTGGGAGTGGAAGGTGGGGCATTCAGTGGGAGGAAGCTAGTTGTTGGCCTCTCCCTCCTCCTCATCAAAGGATTGCACGCCTGAGGATGTGACGTCAGACACCTTCCGGCTGAGAGCGGTGGGCATCTCGGGGTCTTCTCGTGGGGAAAGCGACTCCAGGTCCCGGCATCCCGCATCCTCTTCCTCCTCGGGCGCCAATGGCCTCTTCTCCTCGGCAGGGCCCCTTGCCAGGTCCACCCCGCCCACCCCTGGAGCCCAGTCAGTGTCTCCCCCCAGCAAAGCTGGAGGCTCCTGAGCAGAGTATCCCGAAGCAGGTTGGGAAGGTCCCATTTCGTGCAAGCTAGGCTGTGAGTCATCAAATGCAGGGCCGAGATAGGATCCTGTGGCCGGAGAAGCAATGAGGGACTGGTCGCTTGCTTCCCAGGCATCCGACGACCCCAGACAGTACATGCCCTGGGACACATAGGAGTGAGGCCATCCATCCATTGGGGCTTGAGCAAGGGCATCTGTAAAGAGAATCACGGCGGTTGGTGGGGTCACAGAATATCAAAGGCAGTAACAACAGCACAGAGAACTGAGGGTGAGATGTGGGGCGGGGGGTGAGAGGGGGAGTAGGAAAGCCTATATGAACAGAAAGTCTTAGAACAGAGATGCATGGAGGTAGCCTGGATAGTTGAGGAGACCTCTTAGGCCTCTGGGGTCGGATTCTGGAACCATCCCTCACCCTGACTCTCCATCAATTCCTGGTAGTTGTCACTGTAATTGCAGCCCAATGGCTCCTGGGCGGAGTTGACACTCATGTCCTCACCATCCATGGAGGACCAGGCCATGAGAGTGGCCTCGGAGATAGCAAACTGTTCCATGACGCCTGGGAGAAGAAACGTAGTTAGCACGAGATACCTCGGGGAAGCCTAAGACACATGCGTGGGGCGGGGGACATCAGTGCAGCGCTGTTCAATAGAGATATAACGCAAGCTACTTATGCAATTTTAAATTTTCTAGTAGCCATATTAAAAAAAAATTTAAAAGAAATAGGTGAAATTAATTTTAATAATACATCTTATTTAACCTAATCTATATAAAACATTATCATTTCAATTTTAATCCATATAAAACTACTGAGATATTTTACATTCTTTTATTCATACGAAATCTTTGAAACCCAGTCGATATTTTACACTTACAGCACATCTCCATTCGGACTAGCCATATTTCAAGTTCTCAATAGCCACAGGTGGCCAGTGGCTAAAAAATTGGACAGCACAGCCTTGGTATATACCCCGAAACAAGGCAAAATCGTGGGGGACTTCCCAGAAGGTCAGATTTAGGATTCCTAGGGGAAAGAG